CCGCCGCTGCCGCGGCGGCCACCGCGAAGGCACGTCTCCTCCGGCGGGCTGCCCCTCGCCTCCTCCCTGCCTCGGTCTCCGCCTTCACGCCCGCATCCAGGCCCAGCTCGGGGGGTCCCTGCGGCCACCCTCTGCCCTTCCGCCCGCGCCCGCCTCCCCCTTCTTCTCCAGGGCCCTCGCTTCGTCTGAATTCAGAAGATGCGTTGCGGGAGTGCGGAGAGTGGCACGCTAGACCCACAGTGCAGATCCCAGGGGAACTTTCACTCTGTCCCCTAGGCGCGACTGCTGGGCTTGCGGAGGGCGGGATGACACTCCATCCCGACCTCGCTTCTCAGCTCCCCGCTGCCACGGGAGTACCTGTTGAAGCTTGGGGAATTCACCCTCTGACTTGCGGATAACAGAGTGGACTGCAACAGCTCCCCCGGGGAGGGGCCGGACCCCAGAGCAGATGCAAGCGACTTGATGACTGCAAGGGGCCAGACCTGTGTCTCCAACCTCAAGTCAGGAGGGGGGGGAGCTTATCTTTTCATCTTTGTGCTACCGCCACAGCCACACAATCCCTCCCCAGCCCCTGACGGATGACTTCACTGCGACATTTAACCTCTGAGCCTCCTCTGTTAAACAGCTACCCAGCCCTGCCCCAGACAAACAGTCAAGCAAGCAGATCAAAGCAGACAGCCCAAGCGAAGGTGCTTGGTCGCAGCCCAAATGAGAGGGGCTCAGGCTGCCCCCTCGTCTCCCCCTGGCAACTATTTTTTGACTCCCAGCTATGAAGCTTCCAAACCCAGTCCCTGTGACCGTGGACATTCAAGCACACCCAAGCTCTGCTGGAGGTCCTTTGGCCAACTGATTCTCACTAAAGAGTGAGTGACTGATAGGAGTTGAACCTATTCCTGTCTTGGATATAAATGTTGCTGATGTCAGCCCACAGGGCAGAGTTTTGAGGGGCAGGAAATAACTCTTCGCTGCCTTTCCTTGCCCACATTCCAGGAACCGGATATGACGCTCTAAGGACTTTGGGGATATCTGGCCCTTTCAACCACTTCACTGAGTCACCAGGTAAATTGAGGAGGGGTTAATAGTGTGAGTATGTGGCTGGAAGAAAAAGCCCTGGGTCCACAGTTTTAAAATGAACCCAGAGTGAGCAATGCTTCACCTGAGGGGAGAAAATCTCTAATAGTGGCATTTCTGTAAAATGAGGACGAGGGCAAGTGTCCACATTTATCCCTTCAGCTGCCAAAATGGGGCTGCAGAGAGAGGCTGACCCTTTTCACTAAGAAGCCCCACAGGCCCTGCGCTTGCGGGATGCCCATGGAAGCAGCTGTCTGTGCCGGCCTCCTTGAACACAAGGCATAAATTTTTACATGCATTAAATTTTTTAATGCCATATTTATTTACTTTTATCGTGGTGAAATATATGCAACATACGACTTGCTATTTTAACCCTTTTAAAACATACAATTCCATGGAATTAATTACATTCACAATGCTGTGTAACCATCACCTCTATTTCCAAAACTTTTTCTTCATCCTAAACATAAACTTTGTATCCATTTATGCAATAACTTTTCATTATTCCTCTCCCCCAGTTTCTGGTAACCTCTAATCTACTTCTCTCTCTGAGATAGTAAGGAGGGAGGCAGATAAGGAGAGGGTGGTCAATGGATACAAAATCGCAGCTAGATAGGAAGAATAAGATGTAGTGTTCTGCCGCACCACATAAATTTAAAGAGGAAAAATGCATAAGACTAGAGTCAGGATACTAGGGCTTGGGAAGCCTGGGGCCAGAGACAGTGTGGGGGGGGGAGCTTCTGAGGGTCTGGGGGTGGCAGAATCATCAGGAGGGAGTGGGGGTAGAGAGCGTGCAGCCACTCAGCTGGGAAGATAACTTCAGCTCCAACTTAGTTTTCCGAGACCTCAGCCACTCTGCCTCCATTGGGAATCTGCCCTATCTGTGCACCAGCCAGGGCCATCTGCTTAATAGCTGTCTTTAAATCAACTCTTATTTTGTTATTTTTTGTTTTACTTAAATGAGCTTGTTTTAAAACAGATATGTTATACCATTACCATAAATGGAAAACCAGCATCACATTACTATAAATAGAAGGTAACCATAAAAATAAACACAATGGAAACAAAAGGGGTATTAAATTCTAACAGTGTATCTTTAACCACAATAAAAAAAATTCTAACAAGATACTGTTGCCTGAGGAAGGTGCTGAGCAGAAGGCCCCCCTCTCTCTTTAAAAGGGAGATTATTAGCAAGGGCTAGAAAGGCGTTAAACATATATGAGCAATAAACTGTGATCAGGAGGATTGAAAGGGAACTGGAAACAGACCCCGCCCCCCCCACAGTCCTCCTCAGGATATTGGAGACCCTTGGATGAATGACCTTAAATCTCCTTGAAGATCTCCAATGTCCCACAATTAGGAGACACGATTCTATGTATACTAGGCAAGAAAGTACTTTTTGTCAGAAGTTAGGAACCCGAGAGAGTTTAGTCCTGTCTAAGGTAAGGTGATCTCGCTTCATGCCCCCCTCCTGCAAGGTGATGCTGGGGAAATCGCTCCCTTCTCTGGCCTCAGTGTTTCCACATGTAAAAGGGGGGGTTGGGCACTAGCCTGTAGAATCCCTTTGGCTATTTGATGAAAGCAAGAAAGGAACAAAGGCTGTGGCTTGTCAGGAAACAGAAGGTGAAGGCTTCACCAAGGAGAAGGGGTGGAG